CCTTATGGAGTCCTACATGCGGATGTCGAAAATGAGATTTCTTAATGTGAAAGAAAGGTATAACCACACCTACACTAGGAAAATAGTGCTGGGGCCTGCTCTCTGGGTGGGACTCGGAAGCATTCCCCACCTTAGCGGAAGAAGTTTATTATTAAGTGATTGCATTGAATTGCAATCACAAATTTTCTGTTACTGATTTGCTGTTTAAAAAGGGACTTAGCCAGGAGTAAAGGGAGAATTTGGGTGGGACTTCATAGAAGAAATAATTTCAATTTCCAGTCTTGTGTTGGAGGAAAGTATGTGTTTTTTCTCCTCTATTTGATACAGTTTATATTCCTAATTCTAGCCATTCTTCTTTTGTAAGAGTTTTGTTTATATACTTGAACCTGACAACTGGAGGATTAAGGATGTGTTTGGACTGCCTTTTTTGCAAGTCTGATTATGAAAACCACCTATGCCATTAGCATAAAATAAAAAGCAGAAAGTTTCTTACACTTGCAGTTCCAGTAGGACAGCAGTTCACAGGAGCTGGAAGTTTTGCTGGTGAATGAGAATATCCATTTTGGAAATAGCCTGCACTACCTCCGTAGTTAAAATGATACCATGCTCTTGCAAATGGCTAATTGAGGGACTTAGCAACAAGCATCTCTCTGCTGTTATCTCTGCTCTTTGCTCTTTGCCTGTTCCCATTCCTCCAGGGTCTCATTAACTTGCTGTAATATGAGTATTCACCTAGGCTGCATACCTTAACTTGCACAAACCTACAATTTTGCAAGAGGACTAGAAAACAGCAACAATCAGGGCAGACTTTTCAAACTGCTGCTTCTTTTTAAAGCTTTTATCACAAAATAGAGATTAAAATACCATTTTTAACCTTAAAAAAAAAAAGGTTTTCTTGCTTTTCCACATACCTTTGTTTATGGTGAGCATTCAAATTCGTTTCCTTAGAATAAGGACTTCTCAGCGCCATGGTGTGTGACGGCTGCTTTACTTTATACTTTCTGTTTTATGGACTTCACTATTGGTACTGTTGTTAGCTGGGAGAAGTAAATAGACTTTGAGCAAAAGATCACACCATAGCAACCCTCAGCTTCTGTTTACAGTTCAAATAAATGTCTGTGCCGTGGAAAGGTATGTCCTGAGGAATTTTCTAAACCAGTACGCTAATTGGTTTAATAACAAAAGGATTAATGCAGATAAGTTGAAGACAAATTTATGCTTGATATTTAAATGGTTAATCAGTAAATAATACATCACGGCCACTCAGTAGGGAGAGGGTATTTTTTGACTTATTTATCGTACTAGAAAGTGCATGACAGTTCTGAGGGAGAGATTCATGTAAGCACTCGGCAGAATATGAGTTCTCCCATTAAAATCAATATTAAAGCTTCCTTTGTTTAATGGGAGCAACTCTGTGTGTGTTTTGAAAACCCAAACCTATCGGTTTATAATTTCCTCACCTTTTGCTTAAAGAACTAGCTTTTACTCAAGCAAAACTTCTATTGACTGAGCTGGACATTTTGCTCAGGAAAAGATCGTGGAATAAGTTATGTGCCTCTGAAAATCGTAGCTGCAGGAGGATTTTAGGCCTTTAAAGGATATGCCAGGAAAGGACATTTTTTCATTTGTGCAACGGATACTAAGACACTGTTGCTAGCAGTGCTTTGGTTTTGTTGTTTGTTTGTTTGGTTTTTTTTTAAAACGCGAATTAGCAAGATTTTATTCGAAAGTGTAAGCATTCCTTAGAGATGTCACCCATACATGTTGGTCCTTCAGCTGGCTTGCCTTTATACTTGGCCAGTGATGCAGAAAGCATGGTCAGGGGAAGGCCAGTATGGGATGCAGTCACCATTTTGGATGATATTGTATCTGGTGAGACCCTTGCGGGTTTTGATTAGGAGGTAGGGGCAGGGTTAGGTGCGTGATGATGTGTTTCTGATTTGGTTCCTGCTCATGTCTGTGGGTACTGTGGGATGTCTGTGTTTTAATTTAAATACAAATGTGGTATCTGGCCAGCTGATAGCATAGCTTCTGATGATATCACTGCACAAATGACGCATGCGTAATCCCAACCAAAACTGGGCCAACCAACAGGTCCAGTGGTTGTGAGCTGGGTTCACTGTTCAAAAAATGAGTGTTGCAATGCTGCGTTGCAATGCTGTTCGGTGTTCTTAAGCAACATGCTAAACGTAAGAACGTGCCATTGCATGGTCGGACTTAAAAATATGAGCCAAGTAGTAAATCTGACATCTATGATCCTCAAATGAACCAGATGAAATGTACCTTGTAGAATATTATTTTAGCTCTTCTGTATTGAGGTGAAGAACTGAGTGTCAGGTGCAACCCTTGAATTCATTCTGGACAGCCTATAGAGTAGAGGGACTATGTATATAGGAACCAGGGGCCACCACATACAGGATACCCTATATCTGTGCACCCTAATGAGCTCAGCAGAGTGGGGTCACATTTTAGGCTGCGGGTGGTGGGCACAGTGTATCTCTGTAAGGACTGGGGGTATTGGCAGGCTGGTACTGGAGAGGTGGGAAGCCTACGGGGCAGAGTATGGGGCAGTCCCGGGGCGGGCTAGAGAGCCTGGGGGGAGCCATGGGATGTGCTATGAGGTTGGTGGTGGGAGGCAGGTGTGGAGGTGTTGGGGCAGTATTGCAGCAGGGGTGGTACTGATGAATATTTTGGGGGATGTGCTGTTTGGCACCCATGGGGAGCCGTGCCTGCAGGTATGAGCACAGAGAACAGCCCCCATCAGCACAGGGAGCCAAGGAACAGAGGTGGGTTTAATATGGAGTGGCTGGGAAATTGGGAAATCCTCAGGGTACCTCCTCCCTGATAGAAATGATCAGAAAAAAATAATAGCTACAGAACATCAGTGGAAAATGAGTCTTGAAATCCAGAGGTAGCTGATCCCCACGGAGCCTCCAGTGTGATGCCTGCTCAGAGCCCACCTGCAACACGCACAGATGCAGGTTTGTGCTTCTTCTCTCCCAGCTTTCTTACATCACATAAAGATTACCTAGGTGAGGGAAAAGTCAAGCTTTTTGTATAGCACTTGCTGCTATAGAAACCACTAGCTCCGTAACGACGTGCCCTGCTACGGAGGCACAGCCAGCAGCAGCTCCAGCCTAGTGGATGCTGTAACCTGTGCTGTCAGTCTTCGGTATTTTTGACCAAAGCTCAGCTGCCTTCTGAACCGCTGTGTGCCTTTCACTTTTGCAACATGCAGCTTTTTAACATTGGAAATAAAGACACCAAACCTCAGGAGCAGTTTATGCTAAAAAAGAAATCCATATCTTTGTAGTATAAAGGTTTATCTGCTATTTTAAATCTGTTGCAATGTGCGGATGACATTAAGCCTCTGCTGGTTTGAATTATGGCTGTAACATTCCCCAGAAAGTCACTATCGGCCATCTCTGTCTCTCTCCAACAGGAAGGAAGAGGCAACATTAAAGGAGGTGATATATGGAAAGCATTGTGTCTGCTAAGCCATTCATGACAGTGTTGAGATAAAAAGTCTGTAAAATGACTGCAACCCTGATGAATATTTTTGAAGTCAGAGGAGGATGGAGCTGTCAGCTATGAGGACTGTTGAGGACTGTTACGGTTTAACCCGGCAGGCAGCTAAACACCACAAAGCCGTTCACTCAC